ACGTTTTTAAGCTAAAAGTACAGTGTACTGCTTCACAGTATTGATTATTTATTGTCTCTTATTATGCCTTTTAAATGCACAGCATCGTTTTAATATATATATATATATATATATATATATATATATATATATATATATATATATATATAAATATATTATATATATTAGGATTAAATTACAGTGAACACCTGTATGAGACAAACACTATAGGTCTTCAGTTTTAGGTGCCTCAGGTCTTCACAGTTTTTGTTAGTTTTATCAGTATTATTAGTATTGGTATTAGTATTAGTATTGATAGTATTGGTATTACTGTTAGTAGCAGTATTAGTAATTTCAATAGTATTAGTATTAGTAGTATTGTTGTTGAGTCACTAAAAAAGAGAATATACTTATAGCTAATAATAATAATAATAATAATAATAAAACTAATAAAATATTTATTAACATTGTTTTTGCTGAGTGTTGATGCATTTTAAGAGAGAGAGAGAGAGAGAGAGAGAGAGAGAGAGAGAGAGAGGAGAGAGAGGTCACACAGAGGACTGACCGATCCCGAATGATCTTTATTCCTTTCATTTGTTCCACTGAATGGAAAAGTCCAGTTAAATCCGCTCGCCGTCGACGAGAGCAAAGCGCCTCGTGGACTAAAGGAGCACGCGCGCTGTTATCTACAGGTGCGCTTTGAGTGCATTAAGATGAAAGCGCGAGAACAAAAGCTCACATCATCATCCATCAGCCCGACAGAGGAGCGTGTGAATGGAGGAGCTGATGCACTCAGCTGGAGCAGGCCTCCTAATATCACCCACACTGTAATACTCACGGCACATCTTAATGAAAGTATTAACACAACTTAAATCCCACAGAAAGTCGGAGTGACTTAATCTGAAAAATTCAAATGAACTCAAAAATGAGTGGTCGAGATAGTAACTCAGTCATTTTGAGTAAGATTGTTTCTTCAGCATATTTTGAGTTAAGGTAACTCTATGTTTGCTACATTTTAGTAAATGTATTATATTCATTATTTTGATTTAACTTGACTTTACATGCAAATACAAACAGGCCAACAATGGGTTGTTTTTAAAGACTTTTAAAGAGAATGTAGTGTGGCTCAATGTGATAGACAATGATTTCCTATTGGCTCTTAGTACCATATGTTTTCATATTGAGTGTGTCTCTTTACTCTCTCAGAAATTAAGGTATAAAACTGTCCCTGGGGCAGTCCCCCTCTTGTCGCTGGGGTGGGATCCTCAATGGCCCATCTCAGTACCTTTAGTCAGGGAACATAACTGTACCATAATCTACTGAAATTATATTCTCTAAACTGTACTGACTCCACACACCCCGTCTCGTCTCCAGGCTTTTTATTGTATTGTTCTGTTTTAAAACATTCGGTTGTGAGAAGATACAAATATATGCTTTTCAACTAGGAACAACTTGTTTAAGGCACACAATCGGACCTTAAAACCACTGTTGTACTTTTGAGGGAACATTTACATTGTTTGTACCTTGATGAACGAAAAATGTATCTGCACAGAACCTTTACTAGTAACAGTGCACTGTCTGTGTGTTGTCAGTCTCCCCAGCCTACCTAACCACTGTGATTCATGCCAATTAGTGCTGATCAAAAATCAGTGTTGAGAGAGCTGAATTGCCAAGTTCCTCTCTGCTGAATGTGGTTCTGCTGTGGCTAAATGCCTCAGAGACTACATCTGTACTCTGACCTGTCAGCGTTTGGCGGAGTGGTCTATAGTGATGTTAAGGTGGACAAGACATTGCTAAAAGTGTCAATGATCATATCTCTGCAATACACTATGAACGTCAAAACAATAGCTTAGTTTATTTTAACAGTGAATTGAATTTGCAGTTACTTAATTGTATTGAGTTAGTACAGCTTAAACCCCAAATACTCAATTATTGTCATATCAACAAAACAAATGGAGTTAGTACAATTTACTCAATTTACTTAGGTGTAAAGGAGTTATTGAACTTAAAGAGGATAGATTAGGACTGAATCTCGTATGCTAAATCACAAATCATATGTTTATTTTATCTTTCTGCACATATGGACATCTTACTGTACATGTTGCACTTTCTGCACACCTTATCGCACATCTTGCACATCTGGACACTCCACACCTGGACACTTTATTTTAGTACCAATATATGCACGTATTTATTCAGTATTCATTCATTATGTGCTGTTACCTACACCTGTACATTCATTATTGCACTGCCTTATTGCATATTTTGGTATATTTCTAATTGTATATATACCTGTAGTTTTTTGTATATATTCTTCTTTTAATATTGTTTCACCCTTATTATTATAACTGTCCTGTGTTGTGTGACTGATTCTATCTATCTATCTATCTATCTATCTATCTATCTATCTATCTATCTATCTATCTATCTATCTAAAACATTTGAGGTCATCAGTTTCCTCTAATCATTTGACTTGACTTACTAACTCATCAGGTTTTACAGTGTATATGCATTTTTAAAGTAATCATTTATTTATGCTCAAGCAGGAAATTAATCTATTTTTTACTCAATTACATTATTCATTATTAATTCCTTTTTGTTGTTGTTTGTTGGTTTTTGGTTGTTTATTTTCATCCTGTTGTGTTGTTTCTGCTCCTGGACTGTCGATCACACCTCTCACTTTTAAGCTTTAGCGTTTTATTTCAGACCAAACTGATATTGATAGGTACTAGATGTGCTAAAAAAGGTTCCACTGTAGTTCTAGTAGTTTTACAGCACTGAATTTTAAAATTTCTGCATAATTTCGTTTATTCATTCAGTCACTCAGAGTGGTTTGATGTGAAATGCTCTGTTCTAGAGAAACTTACACAGTAGGAATAGTAGGAACCAGACGACTGAGGAGTTTAATGCCTCTAAAAGCGCCCTTACAGAATATATTAGTACATGAAATAGTTATGAATATGCGCTCTGGAGTCCGAGACACTGTTTTATGATAGTTTTGAAAAGCAAATTTCTAAAATCCATCCATGGCTTTTTCCACTATATTGCCTTCATCAGCATTAGATATAAAACTCAGAAGACTCGTGTAGGTTCACCGGTGATTCACCCTGGTTCTTATCACCACCACTTAAGTAGTTTAAGTAGTTGTAAGTGCGTTAAGCTGCTTTGTACTTAGTCAAACAGTTTTTTTAATAAAAGGTGCTTTTACTACAGTAATCATTTCACTGCAGTAACAATGCTTTCATTGGCTTTGATAAACGATCTTACAGTGAGGGGGGGGGGTGTCCACTTGGATAAGCTTAAAATTACAACCCCTTTTCCAAAAAAGTTGGGATGCTGTGCAAAACGTAAATAAAAACAACATACAATGATGTGCAAATCATTTAAACCCTATACTTCATTAAGAATAGTACAAAGACAACATTTCAAATGTTGAAACTGAGAAATTTTATTGTTTTTTGAAAAATATATTTAAAATATATCTATTTTTTTCCCCCCAACTTTTTTGGAAACGGGGTTGTAATTTAAAAGGGCCACAGCTTGGAAAACCGAGGCTTCCTCACTTTATTGAAATACAATAGCGTGCTGTCACCAATCCATACAGTCCAGTAAATCTTTGTTTACAAGCTGTTTTTGCAGCACATAAACAAAGCTGCAAAAAAACAACCCTCTTTATAAATTCATAGTTCTGTGATGTCACGCAGCCCAACACATCAGGCTGAAGTTATAAAGTGTGTTACAGCCCAAACTTCACATATATTACTCTTAATGTTACAGGAACAGAAGCAGCCTGGCTTGTTTGATTCTAAGGAACAAAGAACGAAATGTTCATATAAAACCAAATCATGACTGTTTTTGGTACATAAAACCACTGAGGGGAGAAAAATATAGGGAATATCATTTGTCAAAAAAGAGTCTATATATTTTATCTAATTTATTTTCTTTATCAAAATTAATTAAGTAGACTATTGTACATAAAATAACATTATTGGCGTGGGTGGGCACCCAGATGTTCAGAAAAGGGGTCTGGGAATGAGAACGTGAAAGAGAGAACGCTGTTGAGTCCTCTTGTGCCACTTCTATAATTCAATCTGTGCAAAATCAACTGAAGTGTTGACTAGTTTATTTAAAATCTCTCTTATTATCAGCCGTATTATTATTTTCTACCAATCACAGCTCAGAGCGCACGTTGGCTCATCTACTCTATCGCTCATTTCTCTAAGGAGCGTTTCCTTACACAGAAGTCAAAGTCCCAGTTTGCACTAACAGATGACCCATAAACGGAGTGATAAGACGTAAATCAAGTCTCAGCCACTGTTCTGAATCAGTATCAGTGTTGGAAAGTCTTCAGTCTCATTATTAGTCTGATTAATGTGTTTCAGTGAGTCTTTCTTACACACTGAGCGGATTCATTAAGATATAAGAAAGGAAAGCGTTTGAAATGCAGATGAATCCGTGCTGAGGAAGGGCAGCTGTTATCACCCGGACACTTCAGTGAAAGAGCAAACATTCAGTTTAGGAAACTCTTTGATGATCTGAGAGCAGAGAGGGTGAACAGCGCGGAGAAAAACGCACGGGCGACACCCAGCGGTCATCAGAGGAACTAACGTGGAGCTGTGAGGCTCGTGATGACCTCTCTGATTTCAGATCTTGAATTTTATTTTCGTTTATTCAAACCAGAGAGCTCCGTAAGAGAGTCTCAGGTGACCCATAAACAGAGTGATAAGACTCAGACTCTGAATGTCAGACTGTTGTTCTGTCAGTATTTGACAGGGTCCGTTAGGTATTACTTGTTCACCCACACAAATTAGACAGAGGAAATGTTTTTTTTATTAAAATGTTTGCAGTCTTTGCTGAAAAAAGGACAATCCATCCTTTCCATAGTGATCTAAGCTGGTTTAGGCTAGTGTGGTGCTGGTTTAGCTGGTCAACCTCCATGGTTATGCTGTTTGACCAGCATACCAGCATCCAAAACACCACATATGCTGGTTTTGAGTAGCCAGAAAATATATATATATATATATATATATATATATATATATATATATATATATATATATATATATATATATATTTTCTGGCTACTCAAAACCAGCATATGTGGTGTTTTGGATGCTGGTATGCTGGTCAAAACCCCATTTCCAAAAATGTTGGGATGCTGTGCAGAATGTAAATAAAAATAGGATGCAATAATGTGCAAATCATGTAAACCATATATTTAAAGGAAAATACAACAAAGACAACATATCAAATGTTAAAACTGAGAACTTTGAATGTTTTTTGAAAAATATCTGCCCGTTTTGAATTTGATGCCAACAATACGTCGGGACGGGGGCCTGTTTACCACTGTGTTTCATCACCTCTTCTTTTAACAACACTCTGTAAGCGTTTGGGAACTGAGGAGACACTGCTGTAGTTTTGAAAGAGAAATTTTTCCCGTTCTTGCTTGATATAGGATTTCAGCTGCTCAACAGTTCGAGGTCTCCTTTGTCATGTTTTTCATTTCATAACCTTCCAAATGTTTTTTATATATGGTTTCTTCTTTGCGTTTTAGAGTTTTAACTTGTATTTGTGGATGCAGTGATGAACTGTTTTCACAGACAGTGGTTTTCAGAAGTGTTTCTGAGCCCATGCAGTGATTTCCACTACAGAATCATATCTGTTTCTAATGCAGTGCTGTCTGAGGGCCCAAAGATCACGGCCAGCCAATACTGGTTTTTGGCCTTTTCCCTTGCATACAGAGATTTCTCCAGATTCTCTGAATCTTTTTATGATATTATGTACTGTAGATGATGAAAAGCAAAAGTTCTTTGCAGTTTTACGTTGAGACACATTATGCATGAATTTGCTCATGCAGTCTTTCACAGAGTGGTGAACCCCTCCTCATCTTTACTTCTGAAAGTCTCAGCCTCTCTGGGATGCTTTTTATACTCAGTGATGTTGCTGACCTGTTGACAATTAACCACCAGGTGTTTTTTTAGCTTTACACTTTACCAGTCTTTTGTTGCCCCCGTCCCAACTTTTTTGGAACGTGTTGTTGGCATCAAATTCAAAATGGGCAAATTTTTCAAAAAACAATCAAATTTCTCAGTTTCAATATTTGATATGTTGTCTTTTCACTATTTTCAATGAAATATAGGGTTTAAATGATTTGTGTTTGTGATTGTGTGTATATGTGTATGTGTGTGTATGTATACATACATATATGCGATAAACTGTACTACTGATTTACTACACACCAGTAAATCACTAATTAAATGCATAAGAACTAAAGATTGGAGTTGTAGAAAGAGTTATTGCATTAGTTTATTGATCTATATAAAGAAATAAAATGCAATTAACTAATTAATTCTGCAATTACAAAAAAAAATCACAACGTGGTAGGAAAACATTCATAAAGGATTTTTTCGTTCTTATAAACATTTATTGACATTTTACATCAATTTCTAATTACGTTGAGCCTATCAGAAAACTGCACTGTTATCTATTATAACAGTCTTTATTGAGTTTATCATAAATCTCGCAAATCATTCACAAATCAAATTCATTCAGATTCTGTCACCTTGTGTTACTTCTAATTGTCTCCCTCTAACAACCAGGTCTCTATTATATGTTTCCACCCACGAAAACAGCCTTGTGGTTGGTTCAGCATTGGTCGCGCCCCTCACTGGTCATATGTGCCATTTGTGAGGCTTAACGTTACAGCACTGGGTGTGTCTCAAAAGGAAAGCAGCTGCCTGCTCCCTTACTGCCTAGTGCTCTTCATGTTACGCCAGACTTCTGCAGCAGAACCTGCCAGACCTGATGCACTGCTTTGTTTAAATCTGAAAATAACGGCAGACAAAGCTGTTTATAAGCCACAGCAGTCAGCCACTTCAAAATTTCAGACCATGACATCTGATCTGTTGGGTTTTAAGTTAGAAACTCCACCCGTTACACGTACGACGGTGTTTTAGGGCCACTATTAATAAAAATAAAAAATAGTAGACGCCGAGAATAAAGTGGTAATATATATGTATATATATATAGAAGAAAGTCGTAATATTTAGAGAAAAAAAGTCACAATAGTTGGAGGATAAAGTGGGCTAACTGTAGGGGGACTGCCATACCGTGTTGGGGTGTCGGTTGCTGTACTGACTGAGCTCCACTCACTCCTGTCTCTTTGTGGATCATTTTGATTATCATTCTCACTGTCTGTGAAACTTCATGCCCTCTTTGAATGGGGGGAGATGGAGCCCCCGATAGCCGCGTAGACGACCCTGCCTAAGATTCTCCTTCAACAAAACAGACAGACAGTTTCCTCTGAGTCCGTCTGGCTCTTTATTCTAGATAAACACAGTTTCCTGTTCAGCCGTTTCAGCCGGTTCTTAGACTAATAACAGGCTGGTGCTGATGTGCAGGAGAGACAGGGAGACTGAGTGTTTCTTTATGGGTGAATCAATATGAAAGTAGAACTCCACCAACTCAATATTGCGACCTTTCCTGGTATTAATGCCACTGTAATGTCGTAATTCTATTACTTTTTTTCTGGAAATATTACGACTTTTTTTCTCAAATATTAAGATTTTTTTTTCAAAATATTACGACTTTTTTTCTATATAAATCAATATAAAAGAAGTTTCTCTAGAACAGAGCATTTCCCCCCAACCCCCTCTAAATGTCTTTGTTTACATTTTAATGATGTGTCTGGCTGCTTTTGGACATGTCCCGACAGAGCACACCAAACAGGAAGCAAGTAGACAAGGGAGCAGGCAGCTGCCTTCCGTTTGAGACGCACCCAGTGCTGTAGCATCGAGCGGTTGTCGGCACCTCATGTGTCCGCCCACGAAAGCGGCAGTGTGGGTTGGTTTATTGCCGGTCCGCCCCTCTGCGTGGAGGCTCAGCTAGCAGCGCCATGTACCGCACCGTGAGGAACTTCCAACGCTTCAACAGCAGCCTCTCAGCTCTGCAGCGCTGCACTGCCGTCAGGACCCTCGGCCCGGCTCCACACTCGCCTCTCCGGATGGTAAAATCTCGCGTTTTTTAGAGGAAAGTAGTCAAAAATCTGTGTAGAATCGCGTTTGACCTTTTTCTCTGCCCGGCTAAAGCGTAGCAGGTTAGCGAGCTAGCTTAGCGGTGCAGTGGGTGAAATGTATGGTTATCTGGTTAGATCCGCGTTGGGCGGCTGTGGAGATTTGTACAATATTTAAGGCTTTATTTGGTTATTTTTCGAGCACATAGCAGTTTATGCACGCCAAGGTTATGGCATATAAAAGCTAGTCAGCTCGGTTTGGTAACTTACAAGGTCAAAGTCAGCTGAACTGCGATTGCAGCTGCTCTTCTAACTCCACACTCATCTGCTGAGTAAACCGCCTAGTTCATCACCTACACCGATCAGCCATAACATTAAACCCACCTCCTTGTTTCTACGCTCATTGTCCATTTTATCAGCTCCACTTACTATATAGGTGCACTTTGTAGTTCTACAGTTACAGACTGTAGTCCATCTGTTTCTCTGCATACTTTGTTAGCCTCCTTTTACCCTGTTCTTCAGTGGTCAGGACCCCCATGGACCCTCACAGAGCAGGTGCTATTTGGGTGGTGGATCATTCTCAGCACTGCAGTAACACTGACATGGTGGTGGTGTGTTAGTGTTTGTTGTGCTGGTACAAGTGGACACAGCAGTGCTGCTGGAGTTTTTAAACACTGTGTCCACTCACTGTCCACTCTATTAGACACTCCTACCCTGTCAGTCCACCTTGTAGATGTAAAGTCAGAGACGATAGCTCATCTGCTGCTGCACAGTTTGTGTTGGTCATCCTCTAGTCCTTCATCAGTGGTCACAGGACGCTGTCCACAGGACACTGTTGGCTGGATATTTTTGGTTGGTGGACTATTCTCAGTCCAGCAGTGACACTGAGGTGTTTAAAAACTCCAGCAGCACTGCTGTGTCTGATCCACTCAGACCAGCGCAACACACACTAACACACCACCACCACGTCAGTGTTACTGCAGTGCTGAGAATGATCCACCACCCAAATAGTACCTTCTCTGTGAGGGTCCACGGGGGTCCTGACCACTGAAGAACAGGGTAAAAGGGGGCTAACAAAGTATGCAGAGAAACAGATGGACTACAGTCTGTAACTGTAGAACTACAAAGTGCACCTATATAGTAAGTGGAGCTGATAAAATGGACAATGAGCGTAGAAACAAGGAGGTGGGTTTAATTGCTGATCAGTGTATAACTGTGTACTGTTTGTTCATGTTCTGTTTTTGTGTAACACTGGTATAACAGTACCCTGACGGGTGGGTGATTTGGCAAAGATACAGCATAACAATACAATATGATACAGTATTTTCACAGTAGATATGTATCATGATATTTCACTTGTCTAAAGTTTGCAAATAAGTTGGAACTAGTTATGTACTGACATTCTGTAATAAACTGGGGTTCACTGGTATTTTTCAAGTACGTATCTGTAGATACTGATGCATAAACATTTATGAAACGTAGAGATTGGGACTTCATACAGTGAGGTCGAAACATCTGTGATCGCAATGAAAATCTGGGACTTTTTCCCCATTTAAACCTGGAAATAAACAACAGAAGGTTTCAGAATTTTGCAAAAAATAATAAAAAAAGGTTATGACAAGCAAAATGAAGAGCTATTCAAGATTCTACATTATTTCTAGGTCACTATATATGATAAAGTTAATCTTTGTACAGAAATGTCAGATATTTTTAGTCTAATCTCTTCCACTGAAGCATGTTTTCAGACGACTCTCAGGTAGACCTGATCTATTCAGTGGCTTTTGCACAAACTCCTGGAGTCAAGCTCATGTGCATGCTGTCATTAAAGTAAAAGGCACAGGAACTTTTTGAAAATTGTTCTATAAGATGACAATTTCATTATGTTGATTTGCCTTATTTTGTTTTAGGCAAGTTCAGAATCGTACAGGATTGAAAGGGACACTTTTGGAGAGCTGAAAGTGCCAAGTGATAAATACTATGGAGCCCAGACTGTCCGGTCCACCATGAACTTCAAAATCGGAGGGGTGACTGAGAGGATGCCGGTAAGTCATAAAGTAGAAGGTCTAGCATGATATACAGCGCAGGCAGTAGCCATGTTTACGTGCAGCCTAATAATCCGTTAATAATCTGACTAATAGCTTAATCGGAATAGAATACGTCCATGTAAACACTTTAATCGGAATAGTCTAGTCTGATTGAGGCCATTCGGAATGCAATTTCTATCCGATTGATCGAGGTGGGTAATCCTGTAAATAATCCGTTAAATAGAAGTTCTGATCATGTGCGTCGCGTCATAGTGAAAGTTTATAACGTTCAACATGGCGGAGCAGAAACTGGTCTGCAGTGGAGACGAAGTTTATGCTCTGAGCTTTAAAAGACGGCGGTGGGACGGACGTCCAGCTTATGTGTCTCAGAACACGACGTCTTCCTCTCGCCCTTCTTTAATAAGGACACGTGAAGCACGTTTTCCTGTGTCTGACCTCATTTTAAATTGATTAAAAACACAAGCACTGCTCACTGCTGCTCATCTCACTCTGACTGGACTTGTGTGATGGTCGTTGTCATGGTAACGTCTACACTAAGTGGTTCTCTACGCATGCGTAGATTACGTGTAGTGAGCATGCAAATGGAGGTTTTGCATCAGATTGTTGAGTACAGTGAGATATAAACACCTCAGTCTTAATCTATAATCAGAATGTATTCAGTCGGATTGGCAAAAATCTTTGCATGTAAACACAGACAATGACTGGTAACAATGAAACTTTTATGACTGCTTCTGTTTGATTCAGATCCAGGTTATTAGGGCTTTTGGCATTCTGAAAAGAGCAGCAGCTGAGGTGAATAAGGACTATGGCCTGGACCCGAAGATTGCTGGCGCCATTGTACAGGCTGCAGAGGAGGTACTTCGGTCTGTCATAATCTGCCAGCGTTCATTCACCCTGTTTTTTGGTGATGTATAGAAATCCTTACACCCTTAGTAGTAGAGGACACACAAAAGGGAGACCCCCCCTTTAAGTATATAACACAATTTATAGTAGTTTAGTTTAGTATATAAACAAATTAGTTTTTGGTTTTTGGGAACCCTCAGGGCCTTCTAAGGACTAATAATTGTTGTGAAATAAAAAAAAAAAACCCCACAAATGACTAATTTATAGTTTGTTTAGTATAATTATCATTCTTGTAATTAAACAAAAGGCTTAAACGCTTTAAGGAAAGTTATCCAGTCAGGATTTTTGTCTCTGTGGTATTTGGGAAGATACAGCCAAGCAGCTTTTCTATTGGTTAGGACTTCAGGAGCTGAAATGAAGTTCTAACGCTTCAGAATAACCACTAACATAATTAGGAACTGACCATGGAATCAACCAGTCATGTTTTGGTTTACGGTGGGGGGGATTATGAGAACAAAAGGTTAGTCTAGGTCTTCTGGAAGTTGACCAATGACCAATGCGTTTTAGTTTAGAGATTAGAAATGGAAAACTGCAGCAGCTTTATGCCAGGACGGTTTACTAAACTGCTACAAGGTAAAACTAATATTGATAATCTGTTGCAAGTTCCAAAAACTATGGAATGACTTTTACAAGCTCGCTCTAGAACAGCCAAAAAATGTTCATGCAAATCACTGTTAGCGTAATGCTCACATACTACTAAAATCCCTTAGGGATGCTAGCAGAAATTAGCATTCCTGTAGAGGTGATACCCTAATTCCTCTCATTTTTGACAGTTTCGATATTCATGGCCTGGACAGAAGGCCCAGCTTTAACTCTGCTTCACCACTGCTTAATAGTAGGGGTGAGTGATACAGACAAATTGCATAACTGGGGAAAAAAAAAAATATATATATATATTTATTTACAGTACAGAAACATGATCGAAAAAATGTTATGCCTGTTGTGTCTTTACATAAAGTAGTTGGAATACCTGCTCCCTACCTGCCACAGCTGTATATGCAGTGGTTTTGTGACAAGTTCTTGTGTTTATGGGCTTTTTGTAGTTTTTGCTTAACCATGGTAGTAATGATCTTCAAAAATAGACTACAACCAGTGTGTCATTTCATCCATTATATCCCCCCCCACCACTACTTTAACTCTCCATTGACGTAGGTGTGTTCTTAACACATGTGGACAAGTCATCTTTCAGAATTGACTGTGTCTAAATCAGAGCTGCATGTTCAGTTATGTTTCACATCCTGATAAAAGAGCTTAAATCTTATCTGTGATGACTTTGCTCACCACCCCAGGTGACAGCTGGAAAACTGGATGACCACTTTCCTCTGGTGGTGTGGCAAACAGGCTCCGGTACTCAGACCAACATGAACGTCAATGAGGTCATCAGCAACAGAGCCATTGAAATACTTGGCGGCAAACTGGGCAGCAAAGACCCTGTCCATCCCAACGACCACGTCAACAAGAGCCAGGTAAAGCTCCTAATGGCATAAACCTTGACCTAGTAAAAAGAGATTCCTTTTCTCTCAAATGTACTTGAGTGGAATTGAATGTATTAACATTTGAAAATACAGATCCAACACATTTTCACTTCAACACGTGTAGCTGAGTGAATGTAACTAGTTATTACCCAGCCTGGTCTATAAAATCTCTTTCTAGTCAATGTGTATTGAATAGAAGGCAGTTAGTTGCTGCCCTGTGCAGTGGGTCAGTGTGGTTGATATAGCATAATGGGTAATAAAGTGGCAGACCAGTGTTTAATTTCCTAACCTGGATAAGCATCTCACACTGTATCAATAAGCAGGGCTCTATCAGCTAAAAGAGCCACTGGCTCCGAAAAGAAAAAAAATCATATGCAGTAGTTTTTTAAGTGCCAATTAATAATGTGCAAAAAATAAAGCTTTTCAACACGCCTCCGATCAGATCTGTGATTTAAGTATTTCTGTCTTTTACAGTGCCTGATTCTTTTACATATTATCATATGTCTTCTACACATCCAGTCCGCAGTTTTTTTATTAACAAGACTTGGGAGGTGAATTTGGTGAAGGGCAGTTCTTCACATGCTGTCATGTGGGCTGTGTTGAATTTAATTTTAAGCTTTTTGAATTCTTTCTCGGCTGCGCTGGCTAAGAGAGTTTCCTCAGAAACACCCTTTGCGATAATGAAATGCATTGTGTGCATTTTTATGCGTTCAACTCTGGTTTTTGACAGTCTCTTTTTTTAAATGATTCGTTCCTGTTAAGAAATACATTTTCCAGCAGAATTTGCAGGATAGTCTGTTTTATGTTGTCATACCTGAGCCACGCAAATTCCTGAAGCCAAGGAGTTCTGAAATCTTTTTGTGGTTGTTCTTTTGCTTGAAGTGGACGGTTGTACAGGTACACGTTTGTGAGTGTCTTTCACTAGTTCACTGGTCCTAACCAGGTCAGACTGGGGTTGAGCAGATGACCTCTTAAGGTCTGACAGAGATGTAGACTGTGTGAAAAAATCAGATATTTTTCACTTCGCCATTTTCTACTCGCCAGCACTCACTGCAAAAAGCTCAGCTCAGCTCATCTGCTTTGTTTGTCACGTTTTTGCCGCTCTGGTCAAAATCCTGCGAGTATGCGGCCATTTTTTGGATAGGCGGACACGTTCATCTGACGCTATAGCTGATCAGTTACATTTTAAGATGAAAAATGATAATTGATAAATACAGAACAAATAATAATAAATAGTTACCCATGAAAAATAATAATACTTCATAGTTGCTACCTGTTGCCACTGGCGAGTTAATCTTTTTATTACTTGCAAATTAATAATTGTGGTCGCAATTGCAACCATTTTTGTCGCAGTCTGGGGCCCTAAATAAGAGTCCTAGGGTGAGACTCGTAAAGCTGTATTCACCAACCTCTGTAACATGAATAAACTGTATGTCGCTCTGGATAAGAGCATCCGTCAAATGCCATAAATGTAAACTTGATGTCAATTCAGCCATTCATGTCGCATGTTCTGTGGTCCAGATTGGTTTGAGAAATTAGCAGCGTTTATTAAACATTTTTGGCAGTGATTAATCTGTCACCTATATCCTTTTTTTATCTCCCATTTCTAATTCCTTATATCATATGGTTTGACAAATATAATAACTAAATCAGTGTAAATATTTACATGTGTGTTTCAGAGTTCAAACGACACCTTCCCCACCGCCATGCACATTGCTGCAGCTAAAGAAGTACATGAGGTTTTGCTGCCCGGCCTGCAGGAGCTTCACGATGCCCTCGCTGCCAAGGCTGAAGAGTTTAAGGACATCATCAAAATCGGCCGCACGCACACCCAGGATGCTGTGCCTCTGTCCCTCGGACAGGTAAAAATACATAAATAAATCTCACTCTGTATCCATAGTGGTGGCCCGTATGCGAACCAGCTTATCAGGTCTGTTGAATGCTTTAAATTATAAATTGTTGTATTTTACTGTTTGTATTGCATTTGTATTACTCAGAAAGTGTAATGGCCTATTTCACGGTTATGTTTTGTCTTCAGTTTCTCGGCCACGGTTCAGTTTGTATCCTGCTTTGGCATGGAAAGATATAACCGACTTTAAACTTAAAAATGTTTTTATTACGCATAAGTTTAATGCAGGATGTGCAAATAAAAACCAGTCTTTTTAGAACGCAAAACCAAAAAAAAAGTATTAATAAATAAAGGTATAGAAATGAGACAAAAAATATTGCGGTTTACATCACGTGTGTGATGAGACAAACCGTGGCTGCCAACCTGTGGATTTTGGTGTTGGCTACTTTATCTCAAGATCACTACTCTATAAAGTTTTTCTAGAATTTCTGTGAATCTGTATTGGCTTTAAAGGCCCTAAGCAAACTATTTTATGAGCGTTTGATACGAAAATGACACACATTGTGTTTGACGTTAGTGGTACAGTGCTGTAAAAAGTATTTGCCCACAATTGATTTCTTCTATCTTTTCTAATATGTCACATTTAAATGTTTCACATCATCCAACTATTTTAAATAAAAAATAACCGAGTAAACGCAAATGATCATTGTATTTATTGAAGATAAAGATTTATTCAAAACCTATATGATATTGCTTCACATGACCAGACAGGGTCTATTTAAGTGATGTTTAGATTGAACAGGTCTGGCAGTAATCATGCCTGGGTGTGGCTAGTGAAATGAAATCCAACAGTCAATTGAATTTGGTTAACTGGTTGATTTAGAAGCTAAGCGGCAATTACTTCACATAGGGCCAGGTAGGGCTGAACAGCATTTTTCTTTCAATAATTGAAATCATTTAAAAACAGCATTTTGTGTTTGCATCTTTGTCTAATATTAAAAGTAGTTTGATGATCTGAAACATTGAAGTGTGACAGATATGCAAAAATATGAAAGGGCTCAAACACTTTTTCACAGCCCTGTGTTATACTGCTCAATGCTCATGGCAATCAGAGGATCAGAAATAATATAATATGGAATGTACAGGCCTACGTTCCCCACATTGCACATCTTTAGTCTGAGGCTGGGGGCTGTTAATGCAGAGCAGTGTGTGTCTGGTGTCTGAATGGAGGCCTAACTGGTAATGTGAGACATTTAATTCGCCAAATTACAGGCATGAGGCGTGGATGTCATGTGACCTTTCATTGCATTTAATACAGCTGTTTGTGGATGACACAACTCTGAGAGAGGGCAGCATCCAAAATGCGTCTGTTTGTATTGTGAAGAATATTTTAAAATGAATGATTCATCCTGTAGGGCTTTAGTTGACACAGTGGAAAACGCAGACGGCCAAACTCACTATTACATTAAAGTCTGTCATGAGTACAAATGTAAATCATGTGGATGATTTCAAGGGTTTAATTAGAGCTGAGATCATTTAATAATTCATGGATAATTATCAGTAAGGGTCAGAAAATTGATATGTAGAGTGTATTTTTATTTTTTTTTTTTTCCTATGAATGAGCTTTCTGCGCTCTGGGCCCATATTCATTAAACTCAGAGTAGAAATGCTGATCTAGGACTAATTTCATTTTAGATAATACTTAGAAATAATGATGGATTTACTCAAAAGTGTTATGTGAAGTGGAGGTTGGTGTAGTGTAGTGGGTGACACCTTTTCCTTTCACTCTGTAGACTGGGGTTCAATGCCCACCTGGGTAAGCACCCTACACTATACCAATAAGAGTCTTTGGGCTATACTCCTAACTCTACCTGTGTAAAATGATCAAATTGTAAGTCGCTCTGGATAAGAGCGTCTGCCAAATGCCATAAATGTAAATGTAAGTGGTTCCATGCAACTACTTTAAGTAGCTTTTAAGGTGCTGAGTTGAGTAATGTGTAATTAAAGTAGAAAAAGAACATAAAGTTTATAGATTTGTTAGATCTGCATAATTTTGCAAAGTTATTACTGTGCTACTAAGCTGTTCTAGACGTATGCTTAGCAGTAGTTTAGTTTAGTTGGTAACTTTTATTGAAATAAAAAGTTGCTGTCACTGACCTACATGCATTTATTCAGTAATATCAACGAGAGGAAACTGATTAAATACCACAACAGGGCGATTCAGGGTTTTACAGATGAAAACAGCAGATTCAGTTTTTAATGCGCTAAAACTTTTACTTTGAGTCGCTTCTTGTTATTAAACACACACTGAGCACAGGACAAATGGATCCGTGTAATAGTAATTGCCACAAAGTTATCATTTTACTTTTAGACAATGCATCTTAAAGATGCTGATGCTTAAAAACAGCCTTATTTTTAATGTGGTTTGATTTATTTATGCAAATTGCATTCACTTTGCATTGTTTGATGCAGCTTTAGTGTAACTAGTTGCTGTTTCTGTGTGATTATTCATATTTGGTGTGTGTGTGTGTGTGTGTAGGAGTTTGGAGGTTATGTGCAGCAGGTGAAGTACAGTATTGAAAGGGTGAAAGCAGCGATGCCCAGAGTGTATGAGCTGGCAGCAGGGGGCACTGCAGTCGGCACAGGACTCAACACGCGCATTGGCTTTGCTGAGAAAGTGGCCGACAGAGTCTCAGCACTCACAGGTACTTCTACACATACATACTCATAGACACCTTGGACTATATCTGTCACGATGTGTCAAATGCTCTTTCTGTTAGCGGGTGGGTGAGTGTCAATAGTTTCGACTAGAATATTAAGCAGTTCTTTCTGTTGTTACTTCAAGAACTGTCTCTTTTGAGATGATTTTGAGGTGAACTGAAATGTCAGGGCTTTAACAGATCTTAATGCATGCAGGTTTGTGTGTGTCTGTGAGTGTATTGGCTCGTTTTAGTGCTCTGGATAAAGATAAGTATAAGAGGTTTCTTTGTTCCATATTAAAAGGGGAATTCCATTCCATTTTTCTGAATTGCTGCGTAATTTAACCATTTACCAGATGTGAACAGTCATTTAGAAGAGTTTTAATCAACTCTGCACTGTAGGCACACCAGCTTACTGCTTCTGTCAAGTCAGGTTTCTTCTATAATTTGCATCATAACGTTGAAGTATGGGCTTTCTATTGATATTTCAAAATATATTTTAAAAATAAATGGGGCCTTTTTATGTACTATCCAAAACCATCAGTGAACCCACATGCGTCTTCTTAGTTTATAGTTATAATGGTAATAGTGGTAAAATTGTGGCAAATCTGAAAAGCTTTTTTCGGCTGTGGTTCATCTGGGGGTCCCTGAGGACCAGTTTGATCAGCACTGGTCTGAAGATTGGCTAAAAGTGCAAGTGCATTGTAGTGTGTCTTAATTTAATACCACAATAAAACAGCTTCCAGGGTGTATGTGCATTCATGATGGTCTGCCCCTCATACATCCCTCTCTCTCTCTCTCTCTCTCTCTCTCTCTCTCTCTCTCTCTCTCTCTCTCTCTCTGTTTTTCAGGCCTGCCGTTTGTAACAGCTGTGAATAAGTTTGAGGCTCTGGCGGCGCACGATGCTCTGGTGGAACTGAGCGGCGCTTTGAACACTGTGGCCGTCAGCATGATGAAGATTGCGAACGATATCCGTTTCCTAGGCTCAGGCCCACGCTCCGGCCTGGGAGAACTCATCCTCCCGGAGAACGAGCCGGGGTCCAGCATCATGCCTGGTGAGTAACAGTCCGGCCAACCTAGTCAGATGCTCTGGTGGAGCTATGTTGGAGCTCTAAGAGCAAACATCTAGAAAAAATATTATTTGTAAAATGTAATTTTATGTCAAATGTCTTTTACAGTTTCTGTCCATTTCCCATCAGTTTGAGCAGGGACAGCAGCTGACATGTCCAGCTCCACTTTACACCACTTTGAGTAGGTCATTTTACTGATTGTGGGGAGATTAATTGATTATAGAAATTATTAGGGAATAGGGATGCAAACTTTGGCAAATTCTTTTGACCAGTAACCGTTATTAAACAGCAATTAATCATTAACCAGCAAGCTTATGTTCAACGATACAACCCATCAAAATATCAGTTATGAAACTGGTGTTTTATATTCCAAAATAAGTTCTATATGCCACTGACCCAAGATAAAGCAAACATGACTTCCATGACCGAGGCTAGCTTTGGCTCAGTGTTCCTCAGTAGCTTTTGAAAGTATAACCGTCCACCAGGTGCCTCTATCTCATTTCCTCACACCACCATGTATCACACTTTCTGAGAACACGGATGAAATATTTGTCTGTCTTATTGTTTGTGGATATATGCTTTTGATATGGTACATGATTGTACTTGTGTGCTTTTCATTTTTTTAGTAGGCTGTCTAGCGGAACTGATCGCCTTTTGCGCCCTGATGTGTACAGTTTATATACATTCCTAAATGAGAATGATAAACCTTAATTGGAAGGAAAACCTTATTGGAAATTAAAGACCCTCTCCAAGCATCAATGAAACCCTTAAAAAAACTCATCTCAGTTCATCAAAATTACATATTTTGAAGTTTTTTCACAAGAAAAAGTGCTTTAATAGTTGCTTAGATGTAACTCTACCCCTTTGCCTTCGTTCAGTATGCGCAGATCTCTGAATATGCGAATAGAAGTTTGCCTTCAGGGTTTTCTGCCAGAAAGCAGCTCTCTCCATGTTCTATGTGCACTTGAATTAGCTACCGTTATCTTGCTAATGCTATACTAGCAGCTTATGAAGTTGACCTTTATCATGACACACTTTCTTCAGGAACCACCCTCAGGACGCTAGAGGCAGGAGAAACGTTTACAGCAGCCATATTTTATTCGCACACCACATAAACACAAGGCAAACAAAACCAAATAACCAAAGCTATGCTGGCCACTTTTCAGTGGCTTGAGCTGGACTTTTCAGTCCTTTTCTTCACTAAGCTTTTCAGCTCTTCATTCCTCTGCTGCTGCTTGTCCCTCTCTCACTCTGTTCCCTCTCAGCTCTTTTTTAAAAAGGAGCACCCGAGCCGAGAGGGAACGAGAGCTCGCACCTCCACCTCCTCGTTACCGTCCCCAGCTCACAGCTTGGGACTCACTCCTTGCCCTCGTGCCTCTCGTGGCCGGCACCGTCGTCCTCCTCCTCCCGTCGGCACTTGCGTCCCTCGGCGGAGCTCGGGCTTTGCGCTCCGTCCCCCACCCACTCGCGGCTCACTCCCCGCCGTCCTCGCCGGGGTTCGTCGCCGCTCCGAGTGCGGGCACAACCTTCTGGCAGGCTCTCGCAGCCACCATCGGGGGCCGGGAGTGGCCACATGCCACAGCTTAAATGTTTGGTTGAAGTGCATCGCGCAAAATTGGAAAAATGACCCTGCGTGTCCGTTTTCGGCTGTGCTCATTACTGAGCTCCACCACAGGCTTTTTCCTGAGTAGAACCTTATAAATGATCCTTGGTCTGTTTTTACCTGTGCTGAAGACTGTGGCTGTGTGTACGACGAGCCTCGAGGTCTTCAACATAAAGCAAAGCTAAAGCGGACTGGGGCCGTTTTGTACAAATCAATCAGACCACAAAACGATTGACTACTTATTGGCATTGACTACTTATTTCACTCATGATGTGTCTTCTGGCATATAAAAGACACCACATGTACATGCTAACAAGTTTAAAAACTTGATTTTCTTTAAATGAAAATAAATTAACATTTATTTTAAACCTATAGCGTTGGTCAAACAATTTGTTTCTTGTTTTACAGTTATTTGGTCAATCTTTTACATTCCTATTATTTTATATTTTTTCTACAAAATTATTCACAAAATGTACATATTATAACTTCATCTACCTACCGTTACAGAGAAATATAACGTGTGTGTCCACCTCATTCCTGTGAACCATGATGAGTGACAGCTGTAATTTAAATTAGACATTGTAGGATTGTAACAGGTCTGCAAATAACATATTTTTTTCTTTGTATGTCTCAGTTTTTAAAATGACTCCCTCTGTGAAGGTTTGAACTTTTATTAATGGAGCATTAGCCTGTTAGCCGGCTTGTGCTGACCTGCTGAGGCTGCAAGGCAGAATATATCCAGCTACAAAGGGAATATAATGTGTAAACTAGTTAAAGAGACTCAGAGCAGCAACCTATGATGTTCAACAGGCAGTTGGTCATCTGGTTGCATTTTAAGGGCACATATTTTAGCAATAAATACTGGGCGGTTTGCAACGAATGATTGAGACCACATTGCCTCCTGAAGCATCGTGCTTTCATGAGAGATTTGTGCTTGTAAAATTGCTGTTCTTACCAAACTATCAGCTTCACTCGGCTGTGGTGACACCTGCATGTTGTCCCAGAACACCTGAGAGGCATTTAAAATGACATAATAAGTAAGCTTACATTCCTTCACTTAGCTGGAACAGTAACGAACGACATTGCTGTTCCCTGACCAGATATTTCGACAGTCATCTTAAAATACAGTGGTCAAGTGAAAAAATACGCTTAAAAATACAGCACAATGAATAAAGTGCAGATACTTTAACATTATAACCCAGCATCGCCTAAACATTCTGCTCTTTCAGAGTACAAAACATGTCATCAGATATCGGTTTGAAATATCTCTAAACATTTTTTTTTTTTTTAAGGAATTATCTGCCATTATGATATGATATGATATGATATGATTCCTAAATACTTGTAAATTGTAACCCTAGTGCATTTATGTTATAATGAGTCTAAATCTGAGTCTGCTGTGTGTGTTGGCTGTTTGAACGTGAAGTAGAGCTGTTGAGAGGGGTCATCCTGTACTTCGGGAACTGTTCTCAGGTTGCAGGTCTTTTTTTGGGGTCCCTGTGATCTCTGACCTACACAGAATGCAACACTGTAATACTGAGCGAGGCGCACAGATCCTAACAAAGATCCTCCTGACGATACTGACTATATGCTCAGAAAAGCATTGATAATGATAAATATCATATTGTCCAGTTCTGTGTGGTCGTTTTGTGCACAGCGTCATGGATGTTTGGTTGCTTCTGATTAGTGTAAATCATCTACAGGCAGTTCTCAAGATCGATGTTATTCAATTTCTGTGTTAAATTTCCCCATTTAAAACTTCTGATGTTGATAATGTAGGCTAATATTGCTCCATCAAGCAGCCTTTCAGCCCTAGCTTAGCTTTTTTATGTAATATGAGTGTTAATAAATGTTTACATGGCTGGTCTTTACATTGTCCCCCACAGGTAAAGTGAACCCCACTCAGTGCGAGGCTATGACCATGGTGGCTGCTCAGGTGATGGGGAACCACGTAGCCGTTACAGTGGGAGGCAGCAACGGACACTTTGAACTCAACGTCTTCAAGCCAATGATTGTTAGTATTATCTTTTTTATGTAGCATCTCTACTGTTTCTGAAATAGAAACACTTACATTGGGGTGGATAAATCACACGTATTTGGACTAGCTGGAAGCAGAACTGACAAACAGCGAGTGTGCATTAATAAACTTAATGCACAAATTTGCCTTAATTGCTGTTCGTTCACATTATTGATTCAAGTTGGATGGACATAGGTGAGAGGTATACAGCAGAATGCTAGATTTTGTTGTTGTCATTCTCAGACTATGGGCTGCTCATTTTTCAATATATTCAGTCTCTTGAGAAATTGAATTTTGAGTGTATCGCTAACATGTATGCGAACAAATTTGCTGATAATGCTGATGTTCGATGTTTTTCTCGAATGTTTCTGCCATTGACAATACTAAAACATTTACTAGATGTAGAAAATGAGGTCAAATCTGCTTACTTCAGCATTACGGAGGGATATATTGTTTCATTCTATAAAGTTACAAATGGAGACAAATTTATAAATTACAGATATTTTATCCCAGTAGTCGTCATCGGCAAAAGATTCTGCTCATCTAGAGAGGAAGTAATGTTACCAATTAAAATGTTACTTACATAACGGGGCAGTCATGGGTGACTGTTTGTGACTGAAGTGCCCTTGAGCAAGGTACTTAACCAACTGCTCCCTGGGCGCTGTGGCTAGGGCTGCCCACTGCTCTGGGCAAGTGTGCTCACTGCCCCCTAGTGTGTGTGTGTTCACTAGCGTGTATGTGGTGTTTCACTGCACGGATGGGTTAAAATGCGGAGGTTAAATTAAGTTTGGCTAGTGAGAAAGTACTGGCAGTGTGCTGTTGTTTTCATGGCTTTATTTACCAAACATGGCTAGAGCTTCAGATTAACCCTAACCCTGGCCCTAATCCTAACCGTAACCTTAACCCTAACCCAAAACCTAATCCTAACCCTCATATGTTTTTGACATGTTACTGAGAGTCTGTTGAGCGTTTGTTTCATCTAAACCACTCAAAATATAGTGTCACAAAAAGACAAAGAAAAAATGGCCAATTTGGCTGTAAAGAAATCTGAATCAGCCTTTGACATTAATGATGTGCATCCCTATAGCTAAGTTAGGTAAGTTTTAGCTACAGTATGTTTGGTGCAAATCAAATGAAGAAAGATGGAAATATTTCCTATTTTCTTTTTCCTGATGAAAAGGGAGATGATGAGGAAAACACTAAATTGGAGTAGCATACAGAAGCATACAGATCTAGTGGGCAGAAAAGAGAATGAAGTGAAGGGAAAATAGATTGATGTGCAGGCAGGAGAGGTTGACGTGCGGGGAGAGGTGGGGTGGTGTGAGGACAGCAGCGTCAAGGCCTACAAATTAAGTGGTGCCACCTTTTTATAGTGTGTTCTTGCCCCCCATTTACCACCCAAGCCTTAAATCCTGGACATGCCCCGCCTCACTAATGTTCGATGCTCTTTCCTGGGAATCAGGACTGCTTTTACCACCATTGCTTCACACTTTGCAAATGGGAGGGTGCACAAATATATGCAGACACACAGCATTGTAGGGGTTGTTATATTCACCAGCTCTGTTGGCAAGAAATTATTTGAAGGCCTACTGCTGTCAAGCTGTTAACACATGCTCTCTCTCTCTCTCTTTCGCTCTCTCTCTCTCCACAGATTAAAAATGTGCTGAACTCCGCCCGGTTGCTAGGCGATGCCTCAGTTTCCTTCACTAAAAACTGCGTGGTGGGAATTGAAGCCAACACGGAACGAATCAACAAGCTGATGAACGAGTCTCTGATGCTCGTCACCGCGCTCAACCCTCACATAGGCAAGCGCGCTTACACTGCTCAGCCACCAGAGGGCTCTCTGCCACAGGCTTTAGCTGCAGGAGTGCTGTTGATTTGTTGCTCTGTAATTTCTAAAAGCTTTTTTAACTTATTTGTGCCCATTTTCCTCCCTGTTCAGTCACAGCTGAACTCTAACAAACATGGTTCCACGTTTGGTTATACAAATTTTACATATTTGATTTGCAAAATAATTTACATATATTTAATTTACATTCATTATTACAAAATAATTAGGTGTGGGTAACCTTAGCAGGTGAAGTGGCACTGAACACTGGCATACTGGGTCACATTAAGACTAAAGCAGGCTTTAATCTCAGGCGGACCCCCTTAACCTCCATTTCATAAAGCATTCAAGTTTCCTTGATGCCACATTATAATCATTATTGCTGTATATTAGCTGTTTGCAGGATAATGCTAGCCAGCCTACCTAAGAAGTGGCTGTGTTGGTGGTTGCCTCTGTTGCATTTTTGTGTGTCCAAATCCATTATTTTCCTATAAAAGAATTCAAAAATTACGTGACAGACGAAGGTAGATGGATATAAAGAATTTAACGTATTTCAATAAATAAATATATAAATACATGTATAAAAATATGGCCTGTGCATCGGTTATGGCACAGCTTTTTCCAAATATGTTGAACTTGAATAAATAAAATTGTGTGCTAAAATCTGCACAAAAGTGCCATATTGGCATTAACTTTTTTTACTAAATCAACAGCACGTGTCGTTTGACCGGGGCGTTCAAACAGTTGCATTCGTTGTATACTGCATTTACAATTAGAAAACATGATGCAGTACCAAAAAGCAGTCAGGTATGGAATGTATTTATTAAAACCGTTACATGAATGAGGACTTTGCCGTTCTGGTGACTGTGGTGATCCCCTGACATCATTGAGTCTAGATTATGTCGTTGTGTTTAGCTTCTAACCTCAGCATATTTAACGCCTTTTTTATTTTAGACCTTAAGACCTGTTTCTATAGAGTGATATTAACAAACTTCAGCCAGTGGAACAACATCTAGTGCACCACGTAGCCCAGGTCAGTAGGGTAGCTCACCACAGCACCAAGTAGGTTACAGTCAACAAACTGAATTTGTCTGACCAAACAGATTTGTGAAAAGGGGGAAGAAGAACACAAAAAAGGTCTTCAAGGCAAGGGGCCACTTGGGCCGCATGCTCTGTGGCCAAAATGTGAAGTATTGTGGTCAGGGGCATCAACCAACAGGCAACGTCTGCTCCTGACATATAATCACATTATTCTACAGGACCTCCTTAATGTGAATACATTTTCACTGCGCTAAAATGAAATTCATTTTAACCAATTATGCCTTCAAAAGTCCTATTTAGTAGGATGAACTAGTTATATAAAAAAATTCTGAATGAAGTAGTTTTGCATGATTCTGTGTTTGAAATATTAACAGTGCAAAATAGAGCAGCTTTAGTTGCTAAACATTTGTCTGTGAAAAGACTGCTAGTGACCTTCATGGTGCAAAGCCAAGGTCAGTAGCTCTTTCACAAATACAGGAGAAATGATACTTTTTGATTATAGTGTGGCTGGTTCAGTTTAGCAAGTCAGGTAGTGTGAATAACCATGAAAATGTGTTTTCTAATATTTTGTTAATTTGAATAAAAAGGTATATCCACAATGTCAAGAACGAAGGTTTATGCAGGTGTCCAAGTACAGAGACTAGTTTATACACATTTCAGCAGTCAGTAAACACTGGCAAACTTTAAAACCTTAAAATGTAATGTGTACAATTACCATGTAGTTGCACCAGCAACACATTGACTACATTCTCACAGATGTAGAAATGCATAACGCATAATTTTTAATCATTTTCAAATTTGGAATTTTTTTAAATTATCTTTTTGAAGTACTGTTTGTCAGCGACCCACAATCATGTTACTGTTAAGCACTTTGTTCCCCTCTGCTAAATAACCTGTGCTTTTTTTAATAAGCTGGACTGTCCCTCTCCTTCATTTTTCCCTTTTTTCTGTTTTCAAAACATTTTACAACATTATTTTACATAATTTGCTGTGGTACCTCTAAAGGAGTTTGAATAATCAGTTGCATTTTGGCCAAACATTCAGAATATTTTTAAAACTTTCTGATGAATCGTTTTATTCATTGGCTTAAATAAAGGCCACAATGCTAAGGGCCAGTTTCCCAGACCCAGATTAAATCTAAGCCTTGACTAAATGGATTTTTCAGTAGTGAAATACCATTGATATTGCAGTTTAGTCTAAGTTTAGGCTTAATGTGTTCATAAAACCAACCATAAAGGTTGTAGTGTTAGCAGTTTGATTGTTTTTGTTTATCCAACTTTTAACCTTTTTATAGCCACCTGTCCCCACTTTGACAAAGCTTTGGCTGAACAGCCCAGACCGTTAGCACTGCCCTGTTGATCAATTGCAGTGATCAGTTTATTACTTGTTGTTCTCTCCAGCGTCATTTCTGGCTGCTCCCAGCCTGGGGGCTCTGAGCTTCAACTACAGTAAGGCTGTGCTTTAATACAGCCCTGGCATCAAGGAAATGCTCAGTATGAGCCAGTTGAGCTTCAGCTGTTCAGATGTACCCCTGTTGATGAATAATCAGTTCTCAGAGAGTAAACACGCCCAGCTTAATCTAGAATGATACAGGCTACTACTTTTGAAATCAAAACAAGAAACTAATTTTTTAACAAACAAAATATCAGTTAATGTCTTGGTCACCAACCTGCAGAGTTTAGTTCCAACCTGTATCTAACAGTAGCTGCGCTCCAAAGCTAGGCTGCAGGTAAGAAAAGTGGGTCCTAGGTAGGACTGTCCTATGAAGGCTCTATATTTGATCGGATTAGGCAAAAATAAATGCTCTACCAAGGCCGTTTCACACCATCAGAAAGGAGTTGGTGGCAAGTAAAACATTGACGTGAATGAAGTAATATGTGGCATAATTAGTTTGTAATTAAATGTTGTCCTGCAAGTTAAAAACTGTGAAACTCACTGAAAGCAGGTGCATTTCACACCTTGCATTCAATTTACACCTGTAAACAGATGTACATCTAAAGAACTGATATGCTGTATAGGTTATAGATTTTACTAGCCTTTTTGAACAACATCTGGTAGTTGGTTTCATCTGATGGTGTTTCTCTTGAGTTTTTTCTGGATCAGGCATGTGTGCAAAGGGTTATGAGTGTCAGAAGACCGAAGGATACTCCAATCTGGTCCTCAGAAACCACGTCAGAGTGTAGGCTCTATTTCTGGGCTGTATTTGAAGGGTCCTTCTGAGTGGAACCGCCTTGGATGGCATAGCGATCTAGAAGTGCAGCCCTCCTGGACTGCAGCCTAGCTATGGTCTCCCCCAGCACTAAAGCATCAGATCCAGCAAATTAAGGACTTCTTCAGAAGTTAATTAGCTGGCGCAGGTGTGGCAGACTGTGGTTGGAACCAGACTACGCAGGAAGGCATACCTCCAGGAGCAGAGCTGGTGACCACTCTGCTAACAAATTCTCAAACTAGATTAGTGATGATTACATTCAGTGGTAATGAAAAGGAGTAAGAGAAAGTTGGGGGAATCGCGGGAAGGTTCATGCGTGCGTGTGATAATTTCAGGTGGGCTGGGGCCTCTTGGGCCAGCCGGCCTGCGCTCTGATTGATGGCCTTCATCAGACTTGCAAATACAGAAGTGGCGCTTTGCCTGGTTTCCATCCATTTGTCCGCTCCCTAAGCAGCTGCTGAGAGAGTGAAGCTCCTAACACACACACACACGCACATATCCTCAGACGCTCTGAACACCCAGGATGTTGATGGTTCGGGCCGTCAGGACCCCAGTGAGATGTAGAGTTCAGACTGTCTGTCTGAAATGGCTCCGGTTCAGCTGCTGATCGCAGGACGCAGAGCTTTATCTAGTGAAGTAATTGGATTGAGGAGCAGCCTGAGATGAGATAATGAGTCTTTGCCCTTGTGTGGATGGTGACGTTTAACAGGCCTTAGAGGGCAGTTTTGGCTGAGCAAGTACTGATTTGTTAAACATGTAATGGTGTGTCTTAAAACACGTCAGCAAAATGTGGGGAAAAACACCCCTTTATGAACAAAGTCATTTTACTGTAAAGCTACACTGATGGGCTTCTTCCTCTAAGTTACCCTACCCATTATCTGGTTCTGTTGATGTGCTATAGCCGTCCCACAGTGTTGCATTCTTACTTTCAGAATATTTGGTGTACAAGCACTGGTTTGAAAGTGCAGCCATCATCAGAGAGGAGCATCTGTTCAAATATCAGAACGAATTAGATGGAGAGTGTTTAAGGGCTCAGACACGACTTGAGCACTGGCGCCTGAGCAACGGGGCAAGTGAAGCACATGCACCCCTACTTTTATTTAGTCAGCATGAATTTACAAAGTTATATTTTTCATGTAGTTTTATTTGCCCCTCATAAAAGAAAACTGTCACTTGAGATGATCAGTTCTCAAGTTTTGCTCAAGTTTTAAGCAGGAGCAAGGCATGTCACAAAGTAGAGTACATTAATTTAGAAGCCCATTTCTGCCAAATAGAGGAGAAAAATGGTCATTTTTCCACTCAGTGTTTTGGCTTTTTGTCTCTTAATTTTAACTGATTATGCTGAAATAATGTCTTATTGTCTTCGCAATTGGAGTGGTGATGCCAAAGTAGTGGCTACTTTTCTCGCGATTTTGATTAGTGAATAATTGCTTTTTTCCTCAGGATTTTGCCTCATGTTGAACTAATGGCTCACTTTCCCTCAATTTTGATTGTTAAAATATACTTTTTTTTTCTTGAGATTTTGACTGATTATGTCAAAGTAATGGCTTCTTTTCTTTCGATTTTAACTGATTATGCCAAAATAATGGTTCATTTTCTCCCGATTTTGATTGTTGAAATAATTGTTTTTTCCTTGACTAAATATGTCAAAATAATGGCTGATTTTCTTGGGACTTTGACTGTGTCAAAATATTGGTTTCTTTTCTTGAGATTTTGACTAATTACGTCAAAAAGATAGGGGGCAGTCATGGGACGGTTGTGGGGCTGGAGGTTAGGGAATCAGCCTTGTGACCAGAAGGTCACCGATTCGATCCCCTGAGCCAACAGTACGTGACTGAAGTGCCCTTGAGCAAGACACCTAACCCCCAACTGCTCCCCGGGCGCTGTGGATAGGGCTGCCTCCTGCTCCGTGCAAGTGTGCTCACTGTCCCCTATTGTGAGTGTATTCACTAGTGCATATGTGGTGTTTCACTGCACGGATGGGTTAAATGCTGTTGTGGGATTACTAAGGGTCACTTAGCTTAAAATGTCTTGTTTGCAACAGGACTCTTCCCCAATGTAAAAAGCATTAAAGACGCGTATGAAAATAGCTAACTAGCATCAGGTAACACCCTCTTTCGACCCACAGTGCACCGAACCCAAAACAAACTGTTCCCCCACTTTCACTCAAAATCAGACGCCCATGCACACGAGAGCTCAGATTTAGCTGATTCAGCGTCAGTCATTTAATTGATTTAGTTTCTTATTAGTCATATTGTATTGTATTGTTTTGTATTCTTTCCTGGGTAAATAAAGCTGGAGGTAAATGAAACTAGCACAGGAGCGTGCAACGAGAGAGAAGCAAGATTTTCATCAGATTATTATTATTTTATACGGAGCTCAATAATTTATGGAGTGCAGCCAGACGTCTGTATCAGAAGTAGCTGTTAACATAGCATGCATGTCTTTTATAGAATCTTTCCATGAACAGATGTAATGTATGCTCTGTAAGGATAAGGAAAGGGGGAAAGTGTGAGTAGGATTGCTCATTTATTCACTGAACAGAGGCACATAGGAATTCCCAGCCTCAGCGTAGTAAATAAATCATAACTCGCAACGTAGAACAAAGAAGCACCTGACCATGATGAGCGTGCAGGCTGCAGATAAAGGAGAAGAAAAGAGGGGGTCGATCTCCTGCTGCTGTTGGAACACTTGGGAGCAAAAGGCACGTTCAAACAAAACTAGTCCTGATGGAAAGCCTTTTGTTTATCACGTTGGCTAACGTCAAACAAGGGACGTGGCTGTTTGCAGGTGTTTATACTTAGCAAGGGAACAAAGATCTGCTGAGAAGTTTGATGAATTGAGAGTCTCTGTGACACAAACTGGAAGTAGTTGTGTTGGTCAAATAGTTCGCAGATAAGATTTTCAGTTTCTTCCTTCCTTTTTTTCTTTTCTTTTACTTGTGTTTCTATGTGAAGATCATTGACAAAAGTGTTTATACTCCCTCACAAGCTTTTTTTAGTCAGCGGTAATGGATATTGCGTAATTCTCTCTATCTCTGTCTTCCTCTCAGGTTATGACAAAGCTGCTACTATTGCCAAGACTGCACACAAAGAAGGCTCAACGTTAAAAGCCACTGCCATTAAACTGGGCTACCTGACCGAGGAGCAGTTCGACCAATGGGTTCGTCCCCAGGACATGCTCGGCCCCAAGTAAATTATTACCGTTAGAAACTGTGGAAAAGCTTAAATGAGTGTCATCTTTGTACAATAAAGCACTTTTTTTGTTGAAATATGTTGTTAAGCTACAAGTGCTTTTGTGCTTTGTTTTAGAATTTTTTTTGTGAATGTCGTTTGAAAAATCGATTGAAATTCAGTCTGTCTTCGGTCCTCTCATCAGTTAATGGGCTTGTCAGCACTTCCACTGTGCATTTATGATCATTATCTAGAACAGAGATCTCCAAATCAGGACTTTGACTCCAGTTTCCGGTGTAACGCAAATAGTTGACTGTCAAAAGTTGATGTTTTAACTCTTATTCCCCAGGGTGTATTTTGTTTTTTCCATCTGAATTTACATGCCCAAATCATAAGGCAAATAATTCAGTAACTGCATGAAATAAATGTAAATTTCTATTTTATTTATTTATTTTTTTATTTGTAAAAGTTCCCCTCAAATTAACAGAAAATGTGTTTTATGATCATAAACACATTGCTTACAATATGCTTACAATTTACTGCTGAAAGCCAAAAATCTTAGACGCTCTTTATAATTTTTAATAAAAATTTTTACAGAGCAGATCACTAATGTGACACCATCCGGGACCCAGTTTATAGATCAGATATGTGGAAAAATGGGTCGACTTTCAGTAGGAAAAAAAATTGTGGGTTCAGCTTCTTTTATTATAAGGGATTAAAATTACATCACCATCTATTTGACTGGAAAGAAGGCAGTTACAGCTCTCATACGACCCCCACCTTTTGAATGTAGCTTATGCCCTGCGATGGACTGGCGACCTGTCCAGGGTGTATCCTGCCTTCCGCCCAATGACAGCTGGGATAGGCTCCAGCACCCCACCGCGACCCAGAAGGATAAGCGGTTTAGATGATGGATGGATGGATGATGAGGTGCGTTTTGGAACCACTGGTGGTCCCAAGGAGTTGAAAAGGTTAAGCTCAAATTTGCATGCGCAAAAGCCCATATATACCCAGTGTACATATGACTAAAATATAGGCGCCTGCCTGCGTAGCGGTACGGCTACACGTGCTGTTTCTAGGTTTCGGAGGAAGACGTTATCCTATGGAAATAATTTAGTTCGCTAACGTGGAACCAGAAAAGACCAGTCTATTTTAGGTTTTTACACACTGAATGATGAGAATCTTCTAGCCACTGTGGGTTAAATCAATACACGGGCTTATGCTGGAGCTAATGGTTTAACATTTAATGGTAAATTATTTGCTGCTCGGTGAATTATGTGTAAAAACATGGCGTGTCGAGGTAACATTGCAAACAGAGAAATATTTAATATCTAAAAACTGCAGCTATCATGGTTAGCATAGTCACACAAAGTTACTTCAAACTTCTTAGTCATGTCTGTGGCACCTTAAGGCACTTGTGTTCTGTAGTAACATTAGCAAAGTACAATAATATACAGAGGGGGATGACAGTTATTTATCATCACTCACCCCCAATTCTTTGGTGATATGAAGCTGAAGTCGGCTATTCACCAGCTTCTCGTTCAAATTTTCCAGTTCCACCTTAAATGGTGCAGCAGTTATATTCTAGCGCTTCAGGCGTCAGAACTGCTGGACTATTTAAGGTGGAACGAGAAATTTAGCTAGCTGTCTAACAAGACATTAGCATACCATTAGTGATTTTTATGCTTGTTATGGAGGAAAAGACCATAATACATTGAAATGACATTAAACTTAATAACTTTTATAATTTTTTAATGGAGAAAATTCTCACATTTGTGGGTTTCTTTGGTCGCTCGCGCAGCCATCTTGTCGTTTTGTTTTTTTTTTTCTTTTTTTTGTGCGTTTGGAAAAACCTCCATTTGGAGGGCCATGTTGCCCTAACACTTCACCCTACCCATCTAACAAAATTGGGACACCCTACCCCTAGACGTGAACGCGCAGAACAAAGGGCTAAGGGCTAAGTGGTAGGGGTGAGAGGTGAAATGGGATTAGGTCTAAATGTTGGTATGGTGTCAGCTTTGACCCTGCAAGAACCTCAAATCATCTATTGACAGTATTAACTTTTTTTTCCCTGCCCCATCATTGATTTTGTAATCACAGGCAGTTAACTGAACTGTTCATGTAATTGGCCACCTGGTGTCACATCTACTAGCAATTACAACATCCAGGACTGGAAACTGGATTCAAGATGTGGAATTGAAGACCTCTGACCTGGAACATCAGGACAATTGAAAGAAATCAAGTACATTAAACTCCCCTAAAACAGGTTTTCACTGCCTAAGCTGCATTTGTTTTCTCAACAGATCTATTTCAATTACAGGAGCTCCACTGTGCTTCAGAGTTGATATTTCTGATGCTAACAGAGTGTTTGCTTATAATACTGGAGTTCTGATATCATGGTCCAAATTCAGTTTTTGTGAACCTCTGTTGCACCGTTCATTTATTCAGCCACTTGAAGTTTGATTGTTGTGTACATTTATGTAAAAGAAGCAAAACTATATGCTTTTGTAAAACTCCTAATGAACCATTCACATCAAATGATAATTATTGAATGGAAATCTTGGCGATACTTTGACTTTCATGCATGCTCAGTCAGAGGAAAGATGAGTCTACAAAAGTATTTTTGACCAGGATTTTGTGTCTGCAAATGGTGACTAAACCTGTGTTTTCCATTAGAGCGTCTTAGTCATCTCTCAGAATGTTCATTTTTTGAAGGGTCATGTTGTTGTTATTGCGCTTTTGCAGATGTTGTGTGCTAATGCAGCACAGTTCCGTTGAAGCAGCCCACGTATTGCTTGCTGTCATATCTTAAGAGTTTGACACAGAGCCTTTCTTTTTTCCGGCAGAAAATCTGTTATTGATTCAAGTAACACAGTGTGGGAAATCACCATAGCCACAAGCCATGTTCTTGCTTTTCTACAACGGAGAACAAATCCTTGCGCTGTACTTGCTTCTGAACATGAAAGATTACATTTGTTATATTGTTAATGTGGTAGCCAGTGCCCTTGGAATTTGACGGTAGGGGTTTCTTGTGTAATTTGGAGAGTTGAGTATTCTACCTCCTATAAAGAATAGTGGGGCAATCAAATTTATTAAAATACAAGCATTCAGAATGGGAAAATATACCGATCAGGCATGAAATTATGACCACCTCCTTGCTTCTACGCTCATTGTCCATTTATCAGCTCCACTTACTATATAGGTGCACTTTGTAGTTCTACAGTTACAGACTGTAGTCCATCTGTTTCTCTGCATACTTTGTTAGCCCCATTTTACCCTGTTCTTCAGTGGTCAGGACCCCCATGGACCCTCACAGAGCAGGTACTATTTGGGTGGTGGATCAACCTCAGCATTGCAGTAACTCTGATGTGGTGGTGGTGTGTTAGTGTGTGTTGTGCTGGTCTGAGTGGATCAGACACAGCAGTGCTGCTGGAGTTTTTAAACACTGTGTCCACTCACTGTCCACTCTATTAGACACTCCTACCTTGTCGGTCCACCTTGTAGATGTAAAGTCAGAGACGATAGCTCATCTGCTGCTGCACAGTTTGTGTTGGTCATCCTCTAGTCCTTCATCAGTGGTCACAAGACAAGCCCACAGGACACTGTTGTCTGGATAGTTTTGGTTGGTGGACTATTCTCAGTCCAGCAGTGACACTGAGGTGTTTAAAAACTCCAGCAGCACTGCTGTGTCTGATCCACTCAGACCAGCACAACACACACTAACACACCACCACCACATCAGTGTTACTGCAGTGCTGAGAATGATCCACCACCCAAATAGTACCTGGTCTGTGAGGGTCCACGGGGGTCCTGACCACTGAAGAACAGGGTAAAAGGGGGCTAACAAAGTATGCAGAGAAACAGAGGGACTACAGTCTGTAACTGTAGAACTACAAAGTGCATCTATATAGAAAATGAACGTAGAAACAAGGAGGCAGTCGTAATGTTATGCCTGATCGGTGTAAATATAATGCAAAAGGCTCTAAATCTAGAACACAGGCTTCCCTCCATCTACAGCCATGGTTTTATTAGTGAAACTGTCACTAAAAAAATATCTAGAAGTTAAAATGATCAAGAAGTGTTGTGTAGCACCAAGTCTAAATAAGCAGTTGTTGCAGGAAACGTATGTTGGTGTGGTTGGTTTACTTTAAAGGCTGTAGATGAATGACCTTTTATTAATTTTTTTCTATTATCTAAAGTACCTCCTCTGCTTTTGTGTCTAAAAGCCTTCTGCCTTTTCTGAAAGCTAAGTGTATTATCACCCTCTGGTGTAGCTTACCCCCAGAAGATTTGCAGTGCTGCTCACAGAAGGAAACCAGCGCTTTACCCTAATCTTGTGAGGCTTTGCCATTTTAGCTTCCTTTCCACTGTCTCTGCTGCCCTTCCGCTCGTAATCCAGGCCAGTGTGAGTCCCAAACTTGTGTGGTGTACCCCAGGGTTCAGCCGTAGGCCCTCTCATATTGATTCATATTGAAGCAAAGTGGACGTGGGGGGCACCAGGGAGCCAGAATGCCATATGGTCCTGCCAAGAGAATTGCTCTTTCCCAAAATGGCACTGGTGAAGCCTGACAGAGGGGGATCTGCGGTTACCTGGAGACACAGGTGGCCATGGGGGAGGGTAGGGGAAAGTGCGACATGTGGAAGCTCAACGGGCGATGAGTTTGCAGCAGCGCTGGCTGAGTTTCAGCTCCTGGTACTCCTGCACTGAGGTAAGAGCACACCCTCATCCTCTTATTGTATTTTATTGATGTCAAAGCCGATTAAGAGAATTACGTATTTCATTTTAAAGGTGCTTTATGCAGAATTCTGAAATGTAAACTATGCAATGGCAGTAAGTTTGAAATGGTGTGACAAAAGCAGAGGTCAGTGAGCTGTGAAAGATGCTGGGGGACACTGGAGAATGTTGCCTGCAGCCAGCTTAGAGCTAGCCACAAGGAGTCCCCGTGGCCAGCCATATGACCAGCGACAAACCAGTGACATTCCCCTTACATGGGAATTTTGGAAATTTTACCATACCTTTACATCATGACATAAAGATGTTGTGGGTGCATGACTGAAATGAATATAATGTAGATATTGCTTTGTCTGCTGGCCCATA